CCGCTTGCGAGTAACTTGCGCTCGGAACGAGGAATACCCTCGTGCTACGGGTTGCGTTGAGGCCATATTTTTGTCTTACGTCTTCAGGCGAGTGTGCCGGGAGGAGGCCAAGTACGAGAAGGTAGTAAGGTCTGTAAGGCGTGAGAGGAGGAGGGGGCTGCCCTTTCGCTCGCTTCATTGGTTCTACTCCTATTGTGTTGACAAACCAGTGCCATACGGAGCTAGGGCCGATCGGATCCGAGAAAGGATCTCTCTGGAATCGGAGCGAGACCGTGAGGGTGGGAGAGACTACCGTTACCAAAGGGTGTTTGGGGTCCGCCAAAGGGTGGTTTAGCATGAATGGTTCTATTTGACAAGGACATCGGTAGGTTTGTCGAGTCCCCTCTAGACGAGCAAGGGGTATATAGCTTGGTTCAGAGCAACGAGGAAATCCCCGATTGGAGGCGGCTGGAAGGTAGAGAGATCACGGTCAGCGGAAATTTTGTATGGATAGAGTCGGAAGAAGTGAAAGCTAGAACGACGGGGGTGCATCTCAAAGTCATGGCGATAGTCTTCGTCAAACCAGAGGCTTGGTCCAAGGTTGTAGTACCCCTGGTCTTAGGCCAAGGAGGTGGGCTGGACCTATTAATCGGAGAGGCAAGAGGGGTAAGGGAAAGGTGGATAGTTAGGACCCGGTGGAGGTTTAGCTTCGTGGCGATAGAGGAGGAAAGGTTCGCTCGAGCGGGCGAGCTCCCAAGGTCGAGTTATCCGGTGATCGCTAGGGCCCCGGGCTTTGTGCTCTTGAGCACGGACGAGGAGAGAATAGTCAAGCTCTTGGAGAGAGAAAGAGGGTTAGGCCTGCCGTCTAGAGCTCTGTCGGTACTATACACTTACTGTATCGACCAGGGGATCCCTCCACGAGGGAAGCTTTGGGGCATTTTTAGGAGGCTAGGATCCCTCGAGGAGTCGGTCACCCTCTCGCCTGAGAAGTACCGCGAGTGGGTCTTCAAAACGACATCTGTAGATGGTAAGATTTGCGCTCAGCAGAAACGGATTGGTGGAAACAGTAGAGGCCGGTGACGGAGGCTAGGTCTTGATCCCGGAAGACCCTCATCTAACGCCCTACTGGATGAGTGTTGAGAAAGGGGGGGTCATCACGTGTGGGTTCGAGCTCGCAGGCTTACCTGGAAAGAAGTGGTGCAAAGGGGGGCCCCGCCTCATGGTCGGTTCCTCGAGGTTCAAGCTACGGTCTTCCTCAACGAGGACACGTGGGCCGAAATTTGGAGGGGTTTAGTGACCGGCCTAGAGACCCATACGGAATACCGCGAGTCTGCAAGGAAGGTAGCGAACGATCTGGTATTAAGCGGTTACGAGAAGGGGACCTTCGAGTCGTGGACGCAGGTGTCCTTCGCCGAGCCGGGTGAAGTCCCTCGGGCTTCCAAGGTGCTCCACGCAAACCTGCCCCAATTCCTGGCACGTTCGCTCCTGCAGGACCCGGAAGGGAGAGTGATAGCAATACTCCGAGCTGCTTAAGAATCTGGGGTGCGGACGAAAGGGCTGTTTTGGCTCTACACTCGGTGTGTTGACGTCGGGGTTCCCCCTAGGAGAGAACTAGCACCTGTATTCGAAAGGTTGAGAGAGTTTGAGGGGGTCTGAGCGTACATCGCTGACGTCCCATACGCCCGCCTCTTTGGGGAGGAGAAAGTGGCAAACCGGAGAGGATACGAAGCTCGAACGAGGTGATGATAAGGGGAATTCCCGAGACTCTTTGGGCCTCGATAGAGCCTGTAAAAGAAGAAGGGGAAGTTGTCCTCGTTACGTTACCCAGGGAGAATCAAAAGAGTCAGACGAAAGTCATTCGAAAGGAAGTGGTCGAGATCCGTCAAGGAAGGGCGTTCGTGCGGCTGTCAGTGAGTAGCGAGGAGGGGTTGGTAATTGGAGAGGCCACGATATTCCTTTCAAAAGAGGGCATCCTAGAGGCAGTCCGAAACTTGAAGTTGGGGGAAGACCCACTCTTAGACGCACGAGCAGTACGAGGCCATCTGGTGATTCTCGTGGAGGAGGTGAATCCTCGAGAGAAGGACAAAAGGATATATCAGGTGACATACGCAAGGTGGAAGGTAGTGACCCCGTTGGAGTCCCTCGTTTTATCCTTGAGCGGGTTTACCCCTCCGAATCGGTCAAGAGGGAAGTAGACAGCAGGATCTTGATCTTGAACCAATTTCGGTTCACGAGGTCGGATTTGCACGCCTTGCTGTCATGGTGCCTTCTAAATCCATACCAAGATGATTGGTCGTCTCTAGAGGACCTGAGCTACGCCTTCGAGGGTTGGGGCCAACACGTAAGGGTGTCATCCGTCTCGCGGAGGTACCTGGGAGAGATCTGTGAATCGGTGTTAGAAGAATTGGAACCCTCAGATCTCATACGGATAGCGATTGCGTGTCGGTGAAGGAAGTTGAGGCATGAGCGAACTTGACACCAGAGACCTGGTGGGGCTAAAAAGGGTAAGGGCGGAAGTGTATTGAATTCTGACCCTTTGTTGGGAAGAGGAGAGAAGAGCGAGGTCGGGGTCTTTGTGGAAGATCAAGATACTTGAGACGGCCACGGTTAAGATTCTCGACGATTTAAAGGAGGGGCTGCTCGCAGGACGGAGTTACGCATAATAGCTACCTACACCTCTAACTCGATAACCTGGGAGTTGGAAACGTGGGACGACGGCCCCAAGGTCGAAGTAGAAGGGGGAGCAGAGCTTAGCCCAGGCCTTGGAGAGGACCAAGTGGCTCGTGCCGAGAAGAGTTTTCTCGTCGAGGTCCGACTACTAGCCTTGTGGAAAAGAAGGTCCTTGACCACCTTAGCTAGGTTTTCAGTCTTTATTAGGGAGGCGGAAAGAGTACGGTTCTTTAGAACGTAAAGGGAATCTTTGGCAGTAATCGAGAGGAAGTTTGAGGACTCTAGGTGGCTTGGAAATCCGGTCGAAGCCAAGGTGCACCTTGTTGAGGCGCATTTCTGGGATAGGACGGGAGAATACGAGAAAGCTTTACATCAGACGATACTCGAGGGCGCTTGAGAGAGGTGTGAGGACTCTCTAGTCGAGGCAGCAGAAAGATTGGCTCGGGTAAGGTAAGCCTGTCAATGATTAGATACGACAGGGGGAGCCATGTCGGGACCTTAGAAAGGGCTTGGAAGTCAAGGTCTAGGTATGGAGTGACCCTCCCCAAGATTGAGGAAGAAGGGGAGGTTATTACGGAGTTCTTTGAAATCTACGGGCAGGAAACACTAGTTCGTTTCTCAATAGTCTCAAAGGAGGGTACCCACACGCGAAGGGCTGCGATTTTCTTGTCTCACGACGATAGGCAGTTCTTTGCTACCGAGTTAGCAGGAGGCAGGGACCCCTTGGGTATCGCGGGAAAGGTCCGAGCCCGACTTGGAAAATTGAGAGGGGGAGCTGAGGAAGGGCGCGTGTTAGATAAGGTTGAGTACCGAGGGAGGGGAGAAGTCCCACGAGCAGCCCACAGACGGACCTGGGAAGTCCCCGCTGGCCTACTATTTGCTCTACCCCGACGACGCCTCGGTAAGGAAGGTCCAAATTAGAGGGCAAGTAATTGAGAAATTCCCCCTAGGAGAAGAAAAGGGGCACGAACTATTCACCCTATGTTGGGGGTCTCTAGAACTTACAGACTTCGAGTGGTGGGCTTTAGTCGGCGACTTCATTGAGCCCCTATTCTCGGGATAGGCCGGAGAAGTGGATAGAGACCTGATTAGACGGTGTTCGCAGGAAGGGATTAGAGGTTTTTCTGATATGGAGATTGCCAACCTTGCACTAGTTGCTTGCGAGGAAAAAAAAGTGTGTGACTCTTGGTGGACTGTGACTAGCGAGAAGTCTGAGAGTGATAGTGAGGAACGAGAATCGAGGGAGGGAGGAAGAGGCTCGGAAGATAGTGACGAGGCGGAAGGGCAAGGGAGTGACTCTAGGGAGAAAAGCGACTAGAAGTTGGTACATGGAAAGTGTGGTTGAGCCCGGGATCGCCCGATCGCCAAAGACCACTGCCATGGGGCAGACCGAGGAGGATACCGAGTTGGGAGCGAGATTGAGCAAGTCGGCCGAAGGAGTAGCCGAGGGAGCAGAGGCTATAGGTAGGGCCTTAAAACACACGGAGGGGCCCCTTGGGGAGAGAACCACAGAGCTGAGAGCGAGTCCCGAAGAGCGATTGCACTGGGAAGTGGAACCACGAATACCGGTAAGGGAAAGGGTGACGGAGGTCACGAGGGGTTTCCCGATCGAAACCCGATGGGTAGGACGAGTGGACATTGAAGAAAGGGCCGACGAGGGGCAAGAGTTCCCTCGTGATAGGGCCGGGTGCTGGGCACCGAGGAGGGGTGAAGAAGGTAGTCTAACGAGGAGGGAGTTGGGGGATAATTGACCAACGGAAATTGGGGGAAGGCCGCAAAGATGGGTCGAGAAGGAAACCGGATCCGCATGTGTACAGGAAGAAGCGGCAGGAAGAAATGTGGGAGGATACAGAGATGTATGGAGAGGGTTTAGGGGCCATGAAACTACGCGTTGGAAACACGAAGACCTGGGAGATAGGAGCCGCCGTGAGGAGGATCCTTAGGGACCTCCGAGGGTTCGGCCTCGGGTTGAAGATTTAGATCCAGGCTGGTACAAACCTTACGATCCAGCATAGATGGGTCGGCGGAAGGTCCTTACTTCCGACGATATGACGACCGAAGGGTCCCCTACTACGATGTGAATCTGGGGCTGGAATCACTCTACTTCAACGGAAGGGATGTGACCGGGTTTGTAGAAAAATGGGAGAGCTACGCCTACCGAAAAAAGTTCTCGGAGAAGGAATGGATCGATCACTTTATACAACATTCGGATCCGGAACTGGTCCAGGTCATTAGGGCCATATACCCTGCTGATGGGAGATGGACGACCTTCAAGAGCAACTTATTGAGGATCTTCGTGTGTCACGATCTGATCCCCACGATAGAAGGGTTGCGTCGGGTCATGAGAGGGGAGCAAGAAAGCCTGGTGGCTTTTACTCGAAGATTTAAATGTTTGTCGCAAGCTTTGGTGGATAGAGGGATGCTTTCCGAGGTTGACAGGTGCGTGATGTTCATGTTGCACCTACCTGAAGAGAAGAGGAAGAAGGTTCTCGAGAGGGCTCCTAGAGACTCGACGAATTTCGATAGAGTCGCCAAGGTGGTCTTCATGAGAGGAGTAGATGTGCGAGAGTACATGAAGGAGAGTCTCGACATGGCGCTCCGGAGTATGTATACTCAAAGGAACGACGTACCTCGCGGGAACGAGAGGCAGCCTCCGGTACCTCCCGGCCAACGCTGGGGAGGCGGAACCCCAGGGTGGAGGAACGAACCCAGTAACCAGGGGAACTGGAGGAACGACCGAGAAACTGGAGGAAGTCGGGTCTCGGAATGGGGGAATTTCCGTTGGAAGGATGCGAGGGATGGAAGGTGGGGAGACCCTCCCCAACCTAGGGCTGCGGGGTCTCGTCCCGAGATAAGTCAGGCAAGACCGCCGCTGCCGCCTGGTCCTCCAACGACCATGGTGACGACACCTCTAGTGACCCCTCGTGCAAGCAATCCACCACCTCGGAGCGGGTGTGTCTACTGCAATGAGGAAGGACACATCAAGCGGGAGTGCCCTCAACTTACAGAAGCCCTAAGGTTAGGGGTGGTAAAATTGAATGAGAATAAGTGGGTTGTGTGGGGAGATGATGGAGAGGCGGTCTCCTTCTATCCCTCGATGAAGATAAATGTGGACAAAAGGATAGCTCTTCAGGAAGCAAGACTGGGAAAGAAACTTGAGGTTGGTGGGACCTCCAACTCGTCCCGCGTCCAAATGACGGAGGCACCGGGAGGTGTGTCCATAAGGGAGCCGCAGGTGTCAAGCATAAAGTTCGTTGAGACCAAGCCCAAAGAAGAGGGACCTTGCCTAAGAGTAAGGACCCAAGTTGGGGCCGGGCCGTCTAAAAGCAAAGAGGTCGCAACAGAAGGCGGAGGGAGAAGGAGTGGTGACGACGACCAACTAATGGTTGACGCCAAGGTCACGGAAGAGAGGAAGGAGGAAGAGCCCACGTCGCCAAAATCCCCTAGAAAGAAAGGACCAAAGAAGTTCGAGATGAAGTGCACCTTGGATGAAATAGACACGGTTGCACCCCTGCGAAGGACTCTAATGCAGCCGATGCAATGCACTCTCCTGGAGTATTTGGCGACCAGCAAGAGCGCTAGGGACGAACTCCTAAGCATCACCAAGAAGGTGAGAATTCTGCTCGCAGGAGGGCCTACAGTTTCAGGGGATGGACCTGCCAAGGAGGAGGTGCAGTCTTCTCGAATCACGATGGAAGAACTGCCGGTCAGCTTCTTCTCGGAAGAAGAGATTAAGAAATTTTATGTGCTTGAGAGTGGCCAGCTCCAAACTGTGGTGGGTGGGAAAAAGATGAGGGCCCTGGTGGACAATGGGTGTGAATCTACCGTGTGTAGAGACTCTATCGCTACGGAATTAGGGCTGGAGGTGGATAGAGGAGTATCCATGTCCATGGTCGTTGCGGACAACAAGCTCCAACCGGCGGAAGGGGTGTGTCACAGCCCCTTGATTGAGGTCGCAGGGGTGGAAGCTACGGTCCTTATTTTCTCGGTGAAAGAGTGTTCTTCCGAGTTGATACTTGGGAGAACTTGGCTAAGCGCAGTGCACGCTACCACAGTCGACCTTCCCGATGGAAGTCAGACCGTCTCGATCCAAAGTCCGAACGGGATCCGAGTGGTTCTGAAGACGGTGGATGCTCAAGATGAGCGGAATCGGACTAGTATTCCAAGGAGGAAGGAAGCAAAGTCACGAGTGTGCCAGGTCCGATTAGAAGAGTCGCCCTTGACTGACAAAGAACCCACGGGGGACCGGGTGGACGTTGAGGATGCTGAGGGGCGAATTATAATCAATGAGGTGGGGTACGAGAAAGAGGATGACGAGGAAGAATTCGACGGGTGCGTAAGGCTGTCTTTTTTGGAAGGATCCCCCTAGCCGGCGGAGTTATAAAGCATAAAACCGTGGCAGAAAAAGTAAAGCCCTCTGCAGTCAGTCGGGATAGAACGAGGGAAACTTCGATATCGGAGGAAGAGATCGCCGATATCATCAGGAAGCGGAAGAAGACCGAAGGGCAAAGAATCACTGCCGACAGGAGAGCGAAAATGGACATAGGGGATGAGAACCTCACCGAACGAGAGAAGGAGTATGTGGCTATAACCCTAAGGGATTGTGACAAGGCCATAGCCTTTGATGACTCTGAGAGAGGGAGGATCGACCCAAGGTACGCCAAACCCGCGCGGATCCACTCGATCCCCCACGTGCCTTGGAAAGATAGGCCTTCATGGAAGTATGCGCAAAAAGAGAAGGAGGAGATAGTGGCATTCATCAAAGAAAAGATAAGGACGTTTGTTGCGGAACCTTGTGAAAGTGTTGTCGCGCGCGGCGGTCCCGCGCTCTGCTGGGAGCACTGAACCTCACGGTCGTGTCACGCATGATGTTTCGTCTGAAAAGAACCAGTCACCACTCCAACCGTGCGCGCGTGCTATGTCTCTCACGACGCCCTGCGACAGGTCGGGACGTCGCGAGGTACAACTTACCTCTACCCAAGGGGTTGTCACCACCCTTAGGTAGATGTATCCCTGCTGAGCTACCGGCCCACGTGCGAAGGCTTTTACATGCCTGAGTCGAGGTAGGTCGGTCGGGGGCGTTTGCTCGATCGCTGTAGCATAATATGGGGTACGCTGTCGGCGCGAACACCCTTACAAGGGTATCCGCCCTGGTTTTTGCAAGTGACAGAAGATAAGGTTTGTTCGGAATTTGAGTATATCATGCGAAGTTGCGGTTGTGTTTGGTTCTCGTTGACTGAATGGTTGACAGGAAGTAGAGAGTATGTGAGCGCGCAGTTTGAGGCGCGCATGATGATTTTACTTTGATACTATAAAGTCGGCGTTTCCGCCGGCAAGATTTTCTACTTTGATTAAAGCTAGGAACGGGTTAAAATCTCGGATAACGCGGCGCGAGCTTCGAACCTCGCGCGCGTGGGCGGATGTACGAGCAGTGCAGAGTTTAATCGACAGGAGCGGAGGCTAGAGGAAGACTTCGTTTGACTCACGATGGGCGACGTCCGAGGCCGCACCGTGCAGAGTATGCGAGCGCAGAGTTTGACTGTGTACTATTGGTAGTAGAACGCCTMACAGGCAGAGCYAAGCAAGGATGGCGTGATTTAGGCTCAGTTGGGGCAAAGGCCGGGCCTTTCCAGCAAGGAGGCAATAAAAGGGCGGCTTTCCCGAGGGAGAGGTAGCATGGGGAAGCCTCGGCCTGTTGGCCGTAGTGTCGCGGGGCTACTTACACGGCGGTGCGGGCCTAGTGACTTCCTGCCCCTAAGAAAGCGAAAGCATGCATGCAGGGCCGTGGGGTTGCTATGAAATCAAGCAACAGCCACAACGTTGCTGCTGCAGGCCCGGGCTGGCCATAGTTACCGTTTACATGTTGGGTGGCACGCACTTAGTCCAGGCTTGGGCTTAGCCCTATTGGTTATAGTGCTAGACTTTCACCAGGCAGATCTTGGGATTGAGGCCAGCAGCGAGCAGGGGAGCAGCAGAGCAGCGAAGGAGACCTATGGAGCGAACTGAGGGGTCGAGGGTCCCGCGGGACTATCCCCCTTAGTTTTTGTTGGGGGATCCGCCCGTGGGCCCGCGGGGCAGGACCGAGGACCAAGTACCAATGGTCCTCCTCCCTCCTCAGCCGTTTTCAAGATTTTTTTTGTTTTTATTTCTAATTTGTTATTTTTTATTTATATGTATTTTCGTTTTTTTCATATGGGACGCGGCCCGGTGCGTGTGGGGGGGGGACCACCAGTGTACCTCTAGGAGGCGGGGGCCGAGCTGCTCACAAAAACGGCTATTAAACCGACTGGTAGCCGGTTCCCTCAGATAGCTGGGGCTGCTGGAGCAACCGGCTGACCGCTACCCCCAAGTCCGCTGGAGTCGGGCCTGTGTATCGGAGGGACGAGATGGGAGGCCGTAGGGAGAGGCAGCACTAGCAGCAGAGGAGGTGGCCACGCTAAGGTACCGGCGGGCCGACAGTGCATGGAAGTAGGAAGGGCCAAGACGAAGAACTGCGCCGGGTGTAGACTGAGTTGGTGTGGACGGAGGGGCGATGAGAGCTAAGCCCAAAGCCACGAGAGATGAAGAGGGATGGAGAAAGGGTAGATCCGAGGATCAGAGTGGACGTAGCGAGCAGTAAGGAAAAGGGTGAGTGAAAGGAATGCTCCCGGGTGCAAGGCTGCGCCGGGTACATTCGGAGGAGGCAAAAGTGGTGGGGTGACGAGATTGGGCGCAGTCGAGTGAGCATAGCTCACTCGATCCTTATCAGATCCAGCCGAGGGAAGGAGTGATTGGGGGGTTTTGAAGGAGGGTGACCCCGAACCTGGCCTTAGTTTAGTGTAGGAGTCAAGAGGTAGAAAGTTAGTAGAAGAATACACCGCGCTCAGCTATGGCAGACGAGAAGCTAGTGAAGACAAACGCTGGCGGAGCGCTAGCAGGTGAGGGAGAGATAGGCAACAGGCAGTGGGAGGAGCTAGCCACGGGCAACAGACCAGAAGAAAGCAAAAACGAAGGAGAGTCAGGGGCATACGAGGGCAGCAAAGGGGGGAACAAAGAAACGGACTGAATACGGACGCAAAACCGCGCCGGATGCATGCGGGAATGAACCCGGCTGGACTAGGGCGCCATGTGCAGATGAAGATGTGGGGGAGGTGGAGAAGAGTGAATCTGGACAGAGGTCCATGTTAGGTGCATGCGCAGGAGGCAGACGGGGTGTTAAAAACGATGGAGTGAGTTGGGACGAGAACTGGCATTGGGTGCATGCACAGCGGGGAGGAGTACAACGACGGGGAAAGTGGCTATGGTGGAGGTGAAGGACGCATAGCCCGCTCGTTTCATGATGAAAACAGGTTGGACGAGAGGGTAAGTAGGGGTCTTGGGGTCAGGCGAGTTCAAGTATAACGTTAGTTTAGGAAGAAAATTAGTAGAATGGGGGGTTAGTGGAGAAGAGGCTGCGCGGAGGTGTCGAGCAGAGGAAAAGAAAGAGGAAAACGGGCATATTTCGCTAATTTGTGAGCGAATTCGAGCGAGAGAAGAGACGAACTGGGGTTTTTCAGTCGTTGCACACCCGAAGCAAAGCTCAGATCATAGAAAAAACGGATGGATTTTGCTGTCTGAATAGCAGGAGCTGCGGGCGGAAAAAGAAATTGTAAAAACTAATAAAAAGGGAATGAATCCGTTCGTGTTCTAGGGGAAGATACATTCGATTATATTTTTGACTTTTTTTTTCGTTGATTCTCCTATAAGCCTTACCTGCTCGTCTTTGAGAGCAACTACGTGCTCCTTTCTTGCATTTGCGAACCGTTCGCGGCATCGACCCTCGCGCTCCTCTCGCCGAGTTTGGTCCGATCAATGGGCGACGTACCTGGCTGATGATCCGGCGATGATTCACCCTCGTCCTAATGGCAGATGAGGCGAGGAGATCCGCGCACTGGTGTGTGTGTGTG